TTCTTTCCTCGTAAATACTCTTTTCTTTATCCAATTCTTCCTTTGTGGTGGAGGAAAGTGAGGAAGTGACTTATAAATAAAATAAATTTGAAAATAAATATTTAAGAGGGAAAGAAAAATAATTTAAATTTAACACATTTTTTGTTAATTATTATAACAAAATAATTATTCAGATTTAATATACATATAAATAAGATAAGGATAAATAAAAATAGTGGATAAAATAAATGCTATGAAAATTTATGTAATGTTTTTGAAAAGCTAAAAGTTTTTAAAAATTTTTAAAGTTTTCTTTTATATATTCAGTTGGAAGGATTCAGTTTAAATTTTAATTTTTTGATTAAAATATTTTAACAAAAAATATTTTTTTAAATTAAAATGAAAATCTCCATTAATATTTTTAGTATATTTTGTTTCGCCCGCCTCTTTTCTTTACTCCTAAATACTTTTTCTCCATCCAATTCTTCCTTTGTGGTGGAGGAAAGTGAAGAACCTATAAAATAAATTTTCTTCCTTTGTGGTGGAGGAAAGTGAAGGATAAATAAAAATAGTGTATAAAATAAATGCTGTGAAAATTTATGTAATGTTTTTGAAAAGTTAAAAGTTTTTAAAATTGTTTAAAGTTTTCTTTTATATATTCAGTTGGAAGGATTTTTATTGTACATAACATGTACAATCTTTTTGAAGAGCTAAAATTTATTGTTAATTTCCCCAAAAAGTTCTAATTCTCACGGCATTCGTCAAAGAAATACTAGCTCTTTGCCACTTTAACGCAGACAAAGACAACCACTTTAACATCTACAAATGATAGCTCATTCGAAAGGGCTGAGTCGATTGGCACTAAAATCGCCGTGATTGGACAAGTTTGGACTGAGATACAGGGCTCGAAATGGTCAAATTTTGGGGGGAATTTCACTTTCATTATTAAATAATAATTTACCTAAAAATTCTAATGGAGGAAGAAGGCAATCAAATAATGTTAAAAATTATTGTAATTATTGCAATAAATGTTTAAATATTTTAATTGAGGAATTAAACATAAAATTTTGTTTTGATCAAAATAAAGGTTAGAAAATAATTTTACTTTTTTCCAGTCTTTGCTTCCAAAAATTTCTACGGGATTAATTCTTTCAGTAGTTACTTGCTCAAACAAAAAATTAAAAGAGCGATTTATTATTACATATTTTGACTAATATATGTATGTGATAATTTAACTTAGCTCGTTGAGCCGTGTCGAATGTGCTATTATTTGTTGATGATCAGACGATAACTTACTACAAACAGTATTTTTCGGTATTTTGGTTATTTTCCGGGTGTTTTATTGGTATTTTTTTATCGGTATTATGGGGCTGCGCCTCAAAACGGCCCACCCTTAAAATGGCCCACCTTAAAACGGCCCACCCTCAAAATGGCCCATTGAACAAAAACCCTCAAAATGGCCCATTGAACAAATACCCTCAAAATGGCCCACCTCAAAACGGCCCACAGTGCAAAATCACCAAAACGGCCCAACTGGCTTCCGGAAACCTTTTTCCGAATTTTCCGGAAACAACTTCCGCATTTCCGGAAACCTTTCCGGATTTTCCGGAAACCTTTCCGGATTTTCCGGAAACATCTTCCGCATTTCCGGAAACCTTTCCGGATTTTCCGGAAACATCTTCCGCATTTCCGGAAACCTTTCCGGATTTTCCGGAAACATCTTCCGGATTTTCCGGATATCTTCTGGAAACTTTTTTTAATTTTAGTTAGACAAATTGAGTATTTTTACTTTGTTGGACATTTTGAAATGGGCCGTTTTAAGGGTAGTCCATTTTGAGGGTATTTGTTCAAGGGGCCATTTTGAGGGTTTTTGTACATTGGGCCATTTTGAGGGTGGGCCGTTTTGAGGGCGCGCCGTATTATGGTACTGAATGAAATTCTGATTACTACAAGGAACTAATAGAGGGGGCCGTTATAAGTATTGTTCTTTCATCTAAATCAAATTAGCAGTAAATTCAACAAAACATTCAAAAAGAGAAACTTGTATTCAAAACAAACGAGAAATAAACAAAACATTAAATAAAAATTTGTTGGGCTCTGTTTCGCGTCTTTCTTCTTTTGGTTGTTTAGAAACAAATAATGAACAAAAGAAAATTTGTTGGTGTCAAGCTAACTATGAGTATGTGAACTTTTAAAAATTAAAAACAAATTTTTAGTTTTTCAACAAATTTATTATTTCAATCAACTAACAATCAAAATAAAAGGAAAAAAATATGTATTTCATGGAAGACGTCGAAAAAATTATCATTCTTTAACCGAAAATAGCTCTAGTAATTATTTAAATTTAATTAACTTTTGGATATTAATTAATTTATTTGGAATAATTATGGGCCTAAAATTGTTTTAATTTTTTATTAAATAAAATTTGTAAATATTTTTGTATTTAATTAAAATTTTTATGGGGTATGCTGAGGTAAATAATTATCAGCAAATTGGAATTATATTTATTTAAACATTCAAATAAATAATTATTTTTAAAGAAGCTTTTGTTTCTAATTTTATTAGCGTTAAAAAACAAATTAAATAGAAATCCCTTAACATATACAGTCATCGACATAAAGATAGGGGCAAGAGTAACTGAAATGAAAATTAACCATTTTCTCAGTCAAAAAATTATTTCAGGGAAAATTTTTTATTTTCTTAAATACACCATTTAATTCTCTATTTAGTGAGTATAAATTTTGCCGGATTAATATTTTATACTACAAGTCTAAGCCGAAATAAGAACATATATAGAACATATATTTTAAAGCTTATTTTATTTTTTTAAATAAATTATTTTTAATATATTTTTAACTCTTAGAGATCATATCCCAAACATTCGAGTACATCCCTTAAGACGGGGCTCGGGACATTGATTTTCCCCGGGATTCGGGCATGACGAAAACATCAATCTTTTCAAATTTAAGGCAAAGTATGCTTGGAATTCGTGCAGAAAGTTCTCGTTTAGATTCACAACAATTAAATAAATTATTTGAAGTTAAAAGAACTGCTTGGAATTAATTAATAAATAAAGTTTTTTAAATGTTAGAGATTTTTTAAATATTAGAAATATTCTCTATTACTAGTTTCTGGAAAAATATACTTATATAAAATTTAAAAAATATTTCAGCGGTGTATTTCTTGTTTTATTTTTGCATTTCTGATTTAATTACAGAAAAGAATTTGAGCTTAAAAAATGTTTTAAAATAATAGACAGTAACTATTAATAATTTATCTTGAAGGAAAATAATTTTCCTTTTGTAACCTCCAACAGAATAAAGAATTGACGTTATTTTTAAATAAATTTTACTGATTATAAAAAAACTTGGAAATTATTTATTTATTTAAATTAAAAAGAATGTACAGCCTGTTTCAATATTATAAGAAAATTTGTTTCGATTGAGAAATTTCTGTTCGAATATTTCTTTCAGAATTTCAGTGTTCCTTAAAAATCTTTTGTGGCTTTTATTTTCGATGGAGAAATACTAAAAAGAATTCCTGTGAAACTTTTAATAATGGTTAGAAAAGAAAGAAAAATAAAAAATATTAATGATTTTTTTTTCGCCAAAGCAAAATCAACCAAAAATCAACGGAAATTTCCAAAAAATATTTTAGCCCCTTTAAGAACTTAAGGGGCCTATTTAGCCCCCTTAAAAGAACTTAATAAATATATACATAACATTGAAACAGACTTTAAAAATAAGAATGTTAAAGTTAAATATAAGAGAATTATTTTTTAAAAAATAAATTGATGAATAAACTTAGTTCTTATTTAAGATAACCTCTGATCGTCTCATCCGGAATAAGCGGAAACATCGCAACATTACACTCATCTGCCATTGCTTTCTAAAAAATATTTTATTTATTATTAGTTGAAATTTTAGGTTTAAATATTTTTGAAAATAAAATTTTTTTTCAATTTGGAAAAACTTTAAATATATGTAAACTTACAAGGCTGTCATACATTTGCTTTAGATAAACAAATCCTCCTCCGATTCTTCGACATCGCTCGTTGTAAACCAGCACTCGTTGAGTAGGATAAACCAACTTAAAATATTAATTTAATGGAGATACCAATATTAAAATTATAAATTATTAGGTTGAATCTATAAGTATATATTCTAAACAGTGAAAAAATAGGTTTCAATAAACTCTACACTAATAAAGTTATTGATCCAACTTTACAAAAAGTCGAAAAAGAATTTCTAAAGACAAATGAATAAACAAAACCGTAAAAACCAAAAATCAAATTACTAATCTAAAAAGAAATATTACCTGGTTTCTAAATGATCTTCCAAAAACATTATATCGTTGCTGTACATATTCGTGAACAAGCTTATTATTATTTTTGACTATAAAACATTTGTCCTAAAAATAATAGTTAATTTGGTAAATTAATTTATGTAAGATGTTTTAAAATTGATAAACTCAAAACAAATAATTACTTCATTTAGGGACCCTCAGCCCCGACAAAAATCAAAGGGCTCGCAAACATAAATATTAAAAATTTGTAATAAAACGGCAAACCAAATTTTCTTCTGTGTTTCTTCCAATTAAAAAGTCGAAGAACTGTTTTTTTCAGCAGAAATATTAGTTTGTTCGATCTCAGATGTCTGTTGATTGAAGGCATAGCTCAAAGTAGAACCATTTATAACAATTACCTGTAATTTTATTTTTAAAAACAATATATAAAATAAAAAATATAACGTCGAATTTTCTTTTTTTATTACTTATTTGTCCCAATACTACAAATGCTAGGGGAGTAACCAAACTTAAACGAATTTTATCGAAGACCGAGAATTCATTTATTCGATTCGCTTTTGGATGTTTTTGAATCTCAAATCTTTAAGGCTTCCTGGGCTTAAAGAAGAATTTGATTTGGAATTTAAGTTTTGTGTACCCGATAAAAAGACAAAAAGATTTAAATAATCAGAACTGAGTTTGTGGATTCAGGAAAAGCAAAAAAAAATTTATTTTACTTAAATATAGATTAAATTTAGTATAACCGACATATTCAAATTCATTTTCAGGGATTCTGGAAAAATTATATAACTATAGAAAGAAATTTCTAAATTATTCAAAAAGATTATATTATGTAAAAATAATTCTTTGCTTACTTCCATCCCATGTTCAACCATTTGTCTTGCATAGAATTGTCCAGGCCCGATTGAATTAGCGTTTCTCGCAACAACAAAGCCGATTCCGTAAATACGCGCCAACTCCCTGGCTTTGGAAGCACAATAATTCCCAACTGTTACCCCCAAAAGATTAGAGCCATCAATTATTGCAATACCGTCTCTTTCTTCAACAACAATTGGTTGTCCTCAAAGAAGTGTTTTTAAATGTTTAATCGTATACCTATATTAAAAACCTTCTACATTTATATCATTCATCGCAATTTTTGTAGCGGTCATTTCTAAACTTCCTAATCCATCACTAAAATAATATTATATGTATAAGTATAAAAAGAATTAAACAAACACAATATAGCCATCGGTATCTGCAAAGGCAAAAAGATTTGCAATATGTTGTGGTGAGTTAAATCCATTATTTGGGTCAGGTTTTAAACCCAGACTTTCCAAGAATCGAACAACAAATGAATGAACCTGAGAAAAAAGTTAAAAATGTTAGTCAGAACAAATTAACAATAGTATGCCTAGGTAAAATTCCTAAACCATTACCAAATTTTTACGGAAATTTTTTCGAATTTGAACAAAAAAGGAAATAAAATAAATTCATAAATTAAACCCGTTAAAACAGAGTAAATAACAAACTTCATTTCCTGCGGCAACAACAACGTCATCAGACAGAATAAAATCCTTATGGTTTCTTGAACAATGTCGGGCCCAATTATTGGCGCCTTGCTTTTCATTACACAACGGACATCGACCATCAACATTTAGTGGAATAAATGTTTGTCTTTTCTTTTTAATATTCCCCTGTTCGGCTACATTCTGAATTTGTTGCCCCGCAGTAGCTTAAAATAATTAAAAGAAATTTACCCTTCATATTTTTATTCTTACGAGTAGCTAACTTTTCCCTCAATTTTTTGGAGACAATTTTCCATTTATTAAATAATATCTGATGATCTTGTTGACTCTATAAAATATTTAAATAGACGAAATTAAGATATCTAGAAAAAGCCCTTCCTTCAGATATTATAAAAAACTAACTTTGATTCCTTTCAACTGATAATATGCATTGAGGGGTGAGAAAAATTTTAACTAACAGAAAACTCTTTACAGAATCCTAAGAGCTATCAAAAATCCTAAGAGCTATCAAATTAAAAATGACCAAGACCTAGCTCTATTTCACGGATATGAACTCAATATTAAATTTCAAATTAATACGAGGAAAAATTCCGTCATATGTCCCGGAAACCGATCCAGACAAACGATATGTCATTCGAAAGATCTCGCCGAGCTGAGTCGAACGGCACCAAAATTAGCTTGGGGACTCACATATGGGCCGAGATATAGGTCCCCGAAAATCGAAAAACAATAGGGGGGACCAAGCACTTTTTTGGGGTGAAAAATTCGAATATGCAAATTATACCTCATTCGAAAGAGCTCCTTGAGCGGGGTCGAATGACACCAAAATAGCCGTAATTGAACAAGTTTAGACAAAGTTACAACACAAAAAACAAACAACATAAACCTATGGGGCGTCGGCGAGGCGCTTGTGCAAAACCCTGCGCTTCGCGCAGGGTTTTGCGGCACGCGCCTCGCGGGGAGTCTACGGGCGATGGGTCTGGACTCGTAACATAAACTTATGCCTATTTTAGCTGCGGTCTGCATGTCTGGCTTCCTCCCCAGCAAGAAAAACCTGCACGTAGACCAAAGGTAAGGAGCTAAAACAAATGGTCATAACTTTGTCAAATCAAGTCGGATTTCGCTGATTTTGGTCTCATTCGACTCAGCTCGAGGAGCTCTTTCGAATGAGGTATAATTTGCATATTCGAATTTTTCACCCCAAAAAATGCTTGGTCCCCCCTGTTGTTTTTCGATTTTTGGGGACCTATATCTCGGCCCATATGTGAGTCCCCAAGCTAATTTTGGTGCCGTTCGACTCAGCTCGGCGAGATCTTTCGAATGACATATCGTTCGTCCGAATCGGTTTCCGGGACATATGACGGAATTTTACCTAATACGATCCCAAAAAAATAAAAAATACCACAAAGTTGAAATTAATGTTCTCCAAACCAAGGTCAACATCCATTCCGGGTACGTTTGCACCAAGTTCCTCCATCTAATAATTTATTTAAAGAAAATAAAGGATACAAAGATATTTATGTATTAGTATTTATTTTTATGATGTTTATAAAAAGAATGTAGTAGTAATTGGAGTTGTAAGATTCTAAACGATTTCTGAATTAATTTTGTTATAATCAGTCACAACAGGGCCAAAAATAAACTTTTTAGAATGTATACTACTTTGTGTTATACTAAAAAAATGGGTACACAAATGTTAATGCCCATTCCTTTTTAAGAATATTTTCACAATCACTTTTAAATAATTCAAAGACAAAAAAGCTTATATTTATAGTGTATAAAAGAGTCTCATTAAAATATACTCGGAGTTCTTTTGGGGCTTAACCATTAGTAATAAAGAGAAGCTCTGATTGATTTAAGAATTTGAACTAGGGTAGCTCCCCGTCCCTCAAAACCTCGACCCCCGACCCTACCCCGACGATTTTTTTGGTAAAAACCCCGACCCGAACCCCGAAGGCTTTACCCCGACAAGCCCCGAGTCGGGGTCGGGGTAAAACATACACCCCTAAAGATGGGAATTTTTCGGAAATTTGAATGACCAAAATACATTTTGACAAAATATTTTTCCCAAAGGCTCCCCGACTTTTCGTCAACGGACTTTCCGTCAATGGACTTTCCGTCAATACTTTTCGTCAATGGACGGACTTTTCATCAATAAATGAACGCTTTTAAAAAATTTAGGACAACGTAAACTTATGGGGCAACGACGAGGCGTTTTGCGGCACGCGCCTCGCAGGGAGTCAACGGTCGCTGGATTCTGAGCTCGAAACATAAACATATTCCTTTTTACCGATTTTCAGCCTTGAAAAGCCTACCCATCTTTCGTAGCAACACAAAAATAAGTTTGCCCAGAGAAAATTCAGTTGCTCATATCTGTGTCCAGAATTTTCAAAACAGTCTAATTTTCAATCTGACACGATTTAACCAAAAGTTTTACACTTTTATATACATACATGTATCATCTTCTCTTTCTCTTAAAATTAATAAAAAACATCCATTTATTGACGAAAAGTCCGTTGACGGAAAGTCCATTGACGAAAAGTATTGACGGAAAGTCCATTGACGGAAGGTCCTTTGACGAAAATTCGTGCCACCTTCCCAAATTATTAGAAATGTCAAAATATATATAATAATTTTTCGTTTATCTTTAGAGAGATGTTTGGTTTAGTGGGTAAGATGATGAGCAACACTGTTCATACGGTTGGGTTCGAATCGAACTATGAGGATCAAATTTATTTTAGATTTTTTTGTTCCAAAAATGAAGTTTAGGCTTTTAATTTTGATCTTAAACCTGCAAACTTATTTTTAAATATTATCAAAAGTGAGGGTGTAATAAAAAAGAATCTGCACATTCTTTTATTTATAAATACATGTTTTTGCGTCTTGAACGCTAAAATGACGATTTTGAGTGCATTCTGCAGCTAAAAATAAAAAAATTTTCGCCTGCGGCGCTGAAATTTAAATTTAAGAATTGCTAATGAAACCCCGACCCCGAAACCCGACATGCCATCTCCGGCAAACCCCGATCCCCGACACTTTCGACCCCGAATGCTCGGGGAGCTACCCTAATTTGAACTATTGAACACAAGAAAGTGTGTCAAAAGAGAATTCCAGACGAGACTCTTTTGGGGGACGGATGTATTTCAGAACAGCTGAACGAGGAAACATATCTTTTCTTAGTAAGCCGAACTGAAAAGTTTTATGAGCTAGGTATTTAATACCAAAATATTTCTGGATTTAAAATATCAGAAGATGAGCAGAACACAATTTTCAAAATTAACAGAAATTTCTACTATAATAATAGAGATTTGTTTTAGTAAATAGAATAGACGAAATTTTCGGCTATGTATAAATAATCATTAAATCTATGACAAGCTCACCATCCGTTTTAGGTCATATTTGCCTTCCATAATGTCTTTAAAAATTTTTAATCCATTACGATTACGACCTATTGCAATAAAGAACTGTCTCTAAAAAGTAAGTTGAAAAAGTTTAAGATATTTTGACCCAAACAATTCCTCTCCCCCAATTTCATTTTAATCTGATGCCTTTTGACAACTAAATCAATCAGAAGGATTAATTATATGGGATATAAAAATTTACAAAAATCTCACTCTCTCGATTAAAAAATCTTCATGAAAAATTATGTTTAAACGAGGATTTCGACCCATAAATTCAGGAGCTTAGATTTTTATTCATGGAAACCTTAAAAGTGGTTTTTGAGGATATGTAAATGAGGGCTAATTTTATTTATTTTCCACAAATCAATCTAAAAGATTACCTCTCTTTTTATCAAAATTTTTCCAATAAAAAAATAAATAATTTTGGAAGTAGTTAACAGAATTTTAATGTGCTTTCTCCAATACTTTCCAAATAATTGCATTTTATATTTATAAAAACAAGCTTTTTTATTTGCCATTAAAGCACGTTTCTCGTAAATAGATAAACTAAAAAATTATTTTAAAAATTTTCAATTTTGAGTTGCTCTCCGTATTTAATAAATGAGATGAGGATTAACTTTAATTTAAATTTTTTTAATATTAAATTTTATCTCACTGCAATCATTCTTTTATTATATACAATTAATCAGAAATTAAAAATTAATTTGGCACAATAAGAGTGATTGGACGGTACCGTATTACCGATTAATTTTTAAAATTAATTTTTGACTTACATTTGAAAATATTTTTTTGTAAAATGATCCAAAAAATTATTTGGATATGTTGACGCTTTAAATATATCAACTAGCAATTCAAGAGGCATTGAATTGTTTTCTTTTTTATTTTTTAATAATTTTTTTGAATTAATTTGTTTTTGTTGTTTTGAATTCTTAATTTCTTTAAATTTTAATTTTTTGATTAAAATATTTTAACAAAAAATATTTTTTTAAATTAAAATGAAAATCTCCATTAATATTTTTAGTATATTTTGTTTCGCCCGCCTCTTTTCTTTACTCCTAAATACTTTTTCTCCATCCAATTCTTCCTTTGTGGTGGAGGAAAGTGAAGAACCTATAAATAATGAAAATAAATATTTAAGAGAAAAAGAAAAATAATTTAAATTTAACACATTTTTTGTTAATTATTATAACAAAATAATTATTAAGATTTAATATACATATAAATAAGATAAGGATAAATAAAAATAGTGTATAAAATAAATGCTGTGAAAATTTATGTAATGTTTTTGAAAAGTTAAAAGTTTTTAAAATTGTTTAAAGTTTTCTTTTATATATTCAGTTGGAAGGATTTTTATTGTACATAACATGTACAATCTTTTTGAAGAGCTAAAATTTATTGTTAATTTCCCCAAAAAGTTGTAATTCTCACGGCTTTCGTCAAGGAAATACTAGCTCTTTGCCACTTTAACAGGCAAGAAAAGGAGAAAGTTAAAAATATTTATAAAATTAATTAAGTAGAAATTTGTGAAAGGTCCCTTTTAAATCTAAATTATTTTCAGTAAAACAATTAAAATTTATTTAAAATTCCAGAACATTTTCTTTAAAAAATGTTTATTGCGTTTCAATTTATTT